CACCGGTAGACGGCAGCCATTACAGACGAACATGTGTTTGTTGTTGTTCCAGAAGCGGCCCGGTCACACATAATGGCATTAGTTTGTTATCATTACTGAGGTGCAGGACTGCTTTTTTTTCTTTTTTTTCACATCATGTCTCCTGCCTGGATCTGTTATTATCTCACTCTGAAGCACGGAGGAGTGTCAGAGGTGAGCTCGTTTCTACTGCTTTTTACGACGCGGTCTCATTTCCAGACTCATGCATTTTGTGAATGAAGCCCATATTTCACTTAGAATACATAAGTAAAAATATTTATCCGAGTATAGTACTACCCCCCAACTTTATGGATGATTTTATGAATTTAATTTTACGTTTTATACTTGAATAAATGCGGTTATGCCTTTATCAACAAAGCAGGCCTAGGGCATTTAGAGCTGGTCACAGTTCACAAGGATAAGGGATGCATGGAAGCATGGAAATAAAAAATAAATCACTGGATTTGAAAAAGATCAAGCTGGCACCAGTGTGGCATTTGTCTTCTGCAGACCACACATGATTCTGTCAAAGAAACAGGACTTTGTTGCCTTTTGGTTTTGCTTTGCCTTAAAGGTAAAACTCATAACAACGTCTCACAAGTCACGGCCACAAAGAGCCATTCTGAGCGCTGAGGATGGGGTTTCCTCTGAGGATAGAGTATCCCTCTGGCTACGCTCCACTTGCCTGTGATCTGCCGTCTTACTGGGACCAGGGGACACTTTAAGAACTTCTTTTACACTCAATCCCATGTGAACACAGTTTTCTAAAACTGGACAAGAATAATTACAACTTGTACCAAAAGGAAGAAGAATGTTCACTTAAAATGTACTCATCACTTGTGGCTCTTTATGCTCCAGAGCGAACCGTGACAGCAAGTCTTGGTCTGATCGTGTGGGAGAGGGGGGTTGTTCTGCCTCTTCCTGGTCTCACAGGGGAGCCCAATCAGATAAGAGTCTGCTGGCCGTTCACTGGAACACGGCCTATTTCCTTACAGTTTTAAACCATGATCAGTGTTCCATGTACAGGATGTAAGTCAGGAACTATCTGGCCACACCAGCCGTTGTTCATTATGTTACCTGGGCATCCCCCGGTTATTAAGCACCTGGCTCAGTGGCTCACCTGGCCGTCTCTTTCCACTCCATCTCCTGCCCGTCCACAGACAGGAGTTCATCCAGCTCCGTGAAGAGCTGAGGAGGTGGTGGGCCGTCATCCTCCTCTCCGAGGATGAACCGAATCCTCTCAGCAGGAGAAACTGCAGGGACAAAACCAAACATCCAATCAGATTAGGATTTTACAAGGTACAAAAACCATCCAAAGATTCTAGTCCTGGAAACTTTACATTAGGGTTGGGCATAATCGTATCGTGTGCAATTAATCGTCAGAAAAACATTAAACGATTACTTTTTGGCACTTGACGATTAATATGATTAATGCCAGCAGGCAGACTGACTGGGGATTACTCTGGTCAGTCTGCTTGTTGCTCCTCTCCACTTCAAATAGGACGAACATTAAAAATAAAGTTCTGTAATTTATCTATCAACACAATTTAAAATATGATGTATATCCTGAAATCTGTAATTTTCACACAATTTTGAAATTTTTTTACAAAGACCAAATCTTTCCCACTAAATTGGTCATCACTACGAAATAAGGGTGTCCAGGGACTCCAGGGGATTAATTGTCAAATTAATCGTTATCGGCTAAATACCACAATTAATCGTGATTAATTTTTTTGCCAATATTGCCCAACCCTAATCTGGACATACAAAAATATTTACAGCTCAAGAACTATTAAACATAGAAACTTCAGATTTCTTTTGTTGTTTAGCTCTTATGAAGGGCCATCCATC